TCTGCAGCGAATGTTTACCAGCATCAGTCTGTACCACCCATCACACCACATACTGTTGAGTCCCTGCGAAACCCACTCTCTGGTTTCCGATGGTCACAATTAGTTCAAGTGTGAGATGTGACAGAAGGACGACACAGGAACAAGGAAGCCCAGCTGACCAGCTTCAGTTTGTCACACATTGCAGTTTCTCCTCTTCCTCCTGCCTCTTTATCGTGCCTAAAGTGGCACAGATGACTGCTTTAGAAAGCACAAAGGCTCAGAGTGAACTCTGAATGTCAGAAACACAGACCGCCTGTCTGTAGTCTGCGCTGTGACGGACTGATTCTGAAAGTGCTGCCCCTGCAGGGCAAATGTCATCTCGATTTGTAAAGCTTGACTCCACAGAGCTGTAACTTTCTATTGCTAATAATCAGATTTAAAGTAAAGTAGGTCAACATTTATAAGATCACCTAGGAGTCTAGCTAACTTGCTCTGGATCCCAACTCGCTGGGAGAACAGAGAGCTCACTTTGGTTCTCAAGCATGCAGCGTCTCACACAAGTTGGGGGAGCCGGTGCAGTGGCCATGGCAACCTTGTTCGAGCCACAACAAGAGGGGTTTTGTGCTGGTGGGCCACGTAGTTGAGCCCTACTGTGACTGGCCTCCTTTTTAGTCTCTTTCACACTGCCTTTGTCTATCTTTGTCTCTCTTTGTCTTGCATTCATACTCACGCACACAAACCAGTATTTTTATTTTTTTATCTGTTCCCAGGGTGCTTGGTGTCCCTGCATAGGGGAGTGTTTACAGGATGTTATCTGTGTCAGCGCTGGTCTCTCATCCCTCTGAGTGGGTTATTTTATGGAATGCTGGAACAGGATAGAGGAGTTGCAAAGGGGGAGTGACAAGAGCCTAGACAGAGAGAGAGAGAGAGGGAGAGAGAGAGGAGAGAGAGGAGGAGAGAGAGGAGAGAGAGAGAGAGAGAGAGAGAGAGAGAGAGAGAGAGAGACTATATATATATCCTAAGGAGGCTGGTGCTCACAGGCACAGCTGGACTACTGGATAACTGGACTGCAGCCCATTGGACATTTAACTAAAAAGGTGAGTTTTTTCATTCTTTTCTAATTATTTGTTGAGAATCTTCATCATTTATCATTATTTTAAAGAAAGAAAGGAAGGAAGAAAGAGAAACTCATTGCCTATATCCATATAAACATTTACATTTTTCATTTCATGCTCTCAACATTAAATGAAATTTTTAACTGGAATGCCACAGGTAGAGTGAGTCTTTCAGAGGATGTGGGCACTTGAAAAACCACATCCTAAGTGCGACAGAGCCGTTAAGTCTCCGTCGCACTTAGAGGAAAAACCGGAGTTTGATCAAGTGCCTGTGTGGGACTCGCCTTTTTCTCCTCTCTTTCTCTCACCAAAATATGTTTGATGTCAAAGAAGACTTTTTGGTTTAACAAGGGAGGTTATTACCAAGTAATTACCAAGATGTTCAGTAAATACTTACTCCCTATTTTTGTTTTCCTTCATTAGAATGGAATCTAAATCTGTTATTTAATTCCAAATTAAAATTTTGAAAAGTTAATTTTTGTTGCTTGTCATTTGATTCTCATAGAAATGCACAAAAAAATCTGTTGGTATGTTACCAAATGAAGTAAATCTAATTAGCACAGTGATAGGAAAGGCTGTAAAATGACACCACTGATCTCATCACTGCAGCAGTCACTGTGAGCTGATAAACTGTTGTTACATATAAACTTGTATTTTTGTGGTTTTTTACACAAAAGTAAATCCTCACAAATATTACATCTGGGTGCATTCAATTAAACTGAGGCTGTAATGAGGAGGGAAATGTGGTTGTATTACTGAACAAGTGCACTGGTGGGGGATTTTCTTCTCTCAGTCTTGGGTGTGCCTTTTTCTGAGCTCCAGGGAACTAGAAATTAGTTAGCTCATCTCTTTTGGGTATTTTACATAGAAAAATATAGAATCATCATCGAAGTAAATCCCCTTTTTTACCCATGTTGTGAACATCTGTGTTTGCTTTGGTTCTTGGCTATTGTTAGAGAAGTAAAAATGACATCCCAAAAGGCCAGCACTGCAGTGTTGCACAATATGTCCACGTCATAATTCATGAGTACACATACCATATTTGACATCTGTTCTGTTTTACCATCCATGACTCGTTTGTGTACTTAATTTTTTTTTTTTTTTTTTTGGACCTATGTCAATGCCACCAGGACTTAAAAACGAGTCCCTGTCATTAACTCGTGCTCTGAGGGCGCGGCCTGAAACTGGATGCCTACATGTGCTGACATGACCTGCTGTTTGCTTTTATTGTAGAGTTTGTTTGTCAGGAACATGTTCTTAGAGAACCTATTCCTGAGACTGCAAACACTCTCCTACACAGGAGCACCATGCATGCTGAGAAAGGATTGAAAAAGACAGAGAGAGACTTTATGTTACTTATATTTGCTAAAATAAAGAAAAAGCTGAGCCATATTTTATCTGAAATGCTAAAAAGTCTCAAATCAATGAACTTCACAAGGGTTTCGTGTTTCTTCTCCTTTCAGGCACCAGCAAAGCCTTTGGAAATCCTTTTAGATTAGTTACTGTGAAACATATAGTTCAAAGATGAACAGTGTGGCAGACTGGCTCGTGAACAACAGGGACAAGATAGAGAAAGGTGTGGAGATCATGGGGCAAGCCTCTGAGGTGCTAGCTGCCACTGTGGGCCAGTTACACCCCGTCTTGGAGGCCGTGTTTGTGGCCTCAGCCGAGCTGCTCAGCAACCCGGACAGCAAAGAGGCTCGCTACTTAACTCAACAATTCGAGATGGTGAACCAGAAACTTGAAGGAATCCAAGATGAGATTGATAAACTTGCCCTGGAGCTGCAGAGGACGTCGATGAACAAGCAAAACTTTGATCGAGAGGCACAGATGATCAGCCAGTATGAGAAGTTTCAGGTCTTTGTCAACGCCAAGCCAAAGTTCAAGGAGAAAAAGATGGAGAAATTCATCAGCCATTATGAGAGCACCGATATGGATTTAAACTTGGATGCCCTCTACAATTCTGTCACTGGGGAGAACACCTCAGGAGACCCTATGCTGGAAACTGTAGTTAATACAGAGCAGAGAAGCAGAAGAGCAGTGGAGGACTTCTGTGCTCGACTGAAGAAGCTTTTTGTGGTTGGCATTATCGCTGTCATGGGTTATGCTGCCCTCAAGGAAGGAGGAGTTGGGGAGGAGATGGTGAAGAAGTGGCAAGGACGAATGGAGGAAGTGGAAAAGCGAATGAAAGCAGCTGTGGATGACTGTACAGAGAACTTTGCCACACAAGCCAAGGTGGACATAGAGCATCTAGTTCAGGAGAACCCGGGCACTGCCGACCTGAACTTCACCAACACCATCTTGGATGCTCTTGCTAAGAAATACGACTGGGTGAACTGGTCCATCAGGGCCTTTAATGACCGGGAGCGCATTTTCTTTTTTAACTGGCTAGCTGGAAAGAAGTACCATGGAAGTGGGGGAGCCAACTGGTTTGACCTTTTGACCAAGAACAAGATCAAGATTGTGGTCTCTTTCTGTGTCAACCCCAAGCCTATTAACAAGAGTCAGATCCAGGAGAAGATTGAGCAGGAGAAGTTGAAGGGGAACATGATGGCAGTTGCTCTGTCTTTGAACAAAAGCTTCCCCAACTGCCTGGTCCATGCTGTCAGCCATTACAAGGCAGTGGTGCAGTCCACCAACTTCCAAGAGGATTGTTACTACTTTGGAAAACACAAACGAGCGTACTTGTGCATTCATCCTGAGTAGGCCAATGAAAAATGTAATGTGTACCTTCTTATTGATGAATTTATGAATGTCTTTATCAGAGACTTGAAAATATCTCCATTCAATATAGAAATGTATTCCTAAATCTTGCCTCTGTTGATGTGTAATCAGCTCTGTCTGGGTTTTGCTATGTGACCCATTGTCTAATGCAACAATTTATATTCTTATATGTGTAGCTTTGAGGTGAGAAAATTCAGAGCCAGATGTGTCCATGCCAGCTTTGTCTTAGCATTAGGGTTGTGAATCTGTTCCCACTGAATATTAGCCTGCTAAGGGTGGATGACTGAGAAATATGTGTTTGTGAGCTTTCAGAGATTTTAAGATTATATGTGAAAATCTACCCTTGGAAAAATGCTGGCTTTGGATGTTCTGAAGATGACATTCGTGACTATCAAAACTGGGTTTGGATGGGATTATTAGTCAGCGACTTGGTTCTGAATAAAAAAAATATTAAAGAGGTGTTCAACAATTAAAAGAATAGTTCTACATTTGGGGGAAATGTGTATATTTGCTTGCTTAGCCTTCGATTTCTATATTAAAAATCGAAAGAGAAATCCGTCCATTCATTTTCTTCTGCTTGTCCCTTGGGCCTACCTCAGCTGTCACAGGTGAGGGCCAAGGTAACATGGATCACCGCTATATCAGACAGAGATATATTCATGCTGAGAACCACTTAGAGTCACAATTATGTGTACTGTGGAAGGAAGCCAAAGCACTCATGAAGGCTTTAAGGATGATTTAAGTTCACATTAGAGCAGTAGAGCTCGTCTAATCTCAACAAAACAATCAAACAAACAAAAAATAACCACTTAAAAAAATTCAGGTGCCCTGTTATAAAAAGATAAGATAACCTTTGTTAGTCATACAGGTGGAATTTTTTTTGTTTTGTGTGTGCACAAATGACTAATACTGTGGTAGATAGTGCCATTAATATTACCCACTCTCCAAATAAAAGCCTATTTAAAAAAAAATCAAATATTTTGCTGTGTTTGGTGCTGTGTGGGAAACCTTTCATATACGATTAATGTTTTACTTTCATCCTTAATAAACTAAAATTACGGATATTTTGTCATCCTTTGTTATCGTCGTTACTCTCTTATTTAAAGGGTCGTGTTGCGTTCAAACGAACTCAGTCAGATTAGCTCTTTAACGGTTATAATGCTGTAATAACATGCCTTTGTTTATTAGATGGGTGGAGGCCGATCTGTATACAATATCAACAACAGACTATTATGCTCACAACTGATTTTCCCTCCACCACCCAGGATTTTTTCTTTTTTCTTGTACTTCTTCTGGGTTTGACTGGGTGTGTCTGCTCTCTGTAACATGAGAGCCACATGACCAATAGGAAGGCAAACAGTCTGGAAGTTAGAGTTCTTCCGCAAACTTTATGAGGTGAGTCCGTTTCTCTTGAAAATGTTTCATAGTGGACAGGCACATTTTAACTGCGTGTGAGCAGAGACATTATAAGGGTCCTGTGGCGGTAGTGTTAGTGCTGATGAGTGGAGGATCGATTCAGCTTAATCGACTTCATGCCACTCTCGTTACATAATCGAGCTGTTTTTTTTTAAACCCGCTTTTTGTTCACTGCTGTTAAAAGTCCTCGTATATTTTGTTAACGCGGGTTGTTTTAATAAAGCGGAGTGGGTGATTAGACGAATCTGCAAAATTTAATGCAGTTCAGGCAAAACTTTTATGGGCGTTGGTTGCCAGATCTGGTGCCACCGCTTTACTTTTTCCAGGAAGTGCTTGTTTTTTTAATCCACTGACGCGGCTGCGCTGTAACGCAAACCTAATCTGTGGTGTGAAGCTGCTGTGTTTGTTTGTTTCTCTGCCCATCAGATGTAAAACGATACAATTACAACCCTCGCGCGCGGACTGATCGATACTTCATCCATTAAGAGAGCGCATTTAACAGAGCGTTAAGTTTTTTCCCTGCTCAGTGGTCAGACTGAGTGGTCAGCTGTCAGATGGAGGGTTTGTTCTACTGTCCAGATGAAGCTGGCACTAAAGTTAGTGCAGATAGCGCATGCGCGTTGTGCGTTTCTTGCCACTGCACAGATCCTCATATAAATTTGCCATTGGCATATCACAGTGTTTAAATTCTGCACAGTAATAATAGATGAGAAGAAAACCGTCACCCTGGCTGATATTTTTATTATATTGCTCTTTGAGACCGTATCAACGCATAAGCAGCATATTATTGGTCAGTTCAGTCCTGAGCTGACAGAGCCAAAGCTTACACCTCTCCAGTGGGTCACACACAACTGAAAGGTCATCATAGTATTCATGTAATACAAAAAAGATAAAGACACTTTTATAATGTTTGCTGATTTGTAGAATATACTGTATTTACCCTCCTCTTTGGTCTTTGAGTACTTAAAAAGGAAAATTCATGTTTGTATAACTGTGAACAACTTAAAGATACCTGAAATGTAACTAAATAACCCAAAAATCACAGAAATCATTTTGCATTTTCTTTAGATTTTTAGTGTAAACGCTTGATCTGAAAAGCCCTGGAGTTAGAAAATATACTGGTCAAATAGGAGCAGCAGAAGAATGACTAAAACAGCATCTAAATGGCAGTACACAGACTGCGGTGTGCATCTCTGTTATGTGAGCCGCAGCAGCTCTTTGTCTATGAAAATGTGATTTCTTTAAGCACTTTTATGTTTGAAGCATCTGCGTGGAGGTGTTTCATGCACTCAGACTGCAGTTACAAAACCCACGAGACCCCGAGAAGTAGCGAAACCGAGAGATAACATCAGTGGAAACATTTTTTATGCTTAAATCAAATGAGATGCAGTAACTGGAAATGCTCTAAACCCCTGCTGGAATTTCCTACTTTGCTGTTTTTCTTAATTTTTAGAACAAAATTGCACAAATATAACATCCTACATATGTTATATTTGAGAAACAGCCAAGTGAACAGCCTTCCCGTTTCCTCTTTGCTTTCTGGGTTGCTGAACATATCATATCCTTTATATCACTTTTTTTGTTGAAGAGGTTTGTGTTTGTTTATTCACAGGTGTGACACTTTGAGGATAGAGTTCTTGTGGAGAGTTAGATGAAATTAATCATATTTCTCCATAAATATGAAGCAACTGATTAGCTTAGTTTGTCATAAAGACTGGTAAACAACATGTCTGGCCCTTTCCCAAAGAATTCTTGGCCGGGAGCAGTGACTTTGACTCCAGGCCAAAATGTAGCCAATAAAACATAGCTAAACCCCAAATTCTTTTGCGTTTAAGTTTTTGTATAAATTAATCAAACAAGATGAACATTTACTGGGCACTTTATTAAGTACAAGTGTAAAAATCTAATGCAATCCAGTGCAACAGCTTTCCCCTCAAATAAAGATTGAATGTGTTCAGTATTTGCTGACATTGTCAAAAAGGCAATATGTCTTTTTTTATATATTACTTAGGTTATAGTCAGAGATGATTACATCTAAGTTTCTTTCATTTCCACCACCCATTGTGCTGGTTATAACGTTGTTTTATTGTGAGAGGATAGCTTCTTATCTGCATCCTGCCAAGAAAAACGTAGGTGTGTTTTCAAAAAAGGCCAAACTATTCCTTTAATCTGTGTTCAGATTTGCTAAATTCTGATCACCTGTCTAGACATCCTTCGTGCTGGTGTCTGATAGCTGCAGAGGTGTGAGATGCATCAGCCTGAGAAATGGTGCTATCTACTGCAGTTTAGCCACATAACCCCCCCTGGGACAGACTTGACCTCAGCAGAAAGATAAATGAGCCTACAGATTATTTTCCATTGTCTTGTTGCCGTGGTAACTTGCTGAGTTTCACTGGAAAACGCACCCTCGCCCAGCAAGTTTAACCTCTTTACACTTAATCACTTCCCACGCCTGCTGCTCTGATATCGACTGAGGAGAAACAGCACTGCTGCTTCTCACTCAGCTCCAAATGAAACACACCATGTGAACAAGACCAGAAAGCTGAACTGAAGAGTGTGACGGCAGATTCTTTACCGAGAGCTGCAAAATAAACAGTCACAGTGGACTGTTTTTTTTCCACACAAATGAAAGTTTCTCCCAAAATTGCACATTTCCAGATTTGCACCAAGGACATGTCTGAACATGCCCAGGAAATCAGTTAGTGTTGCTCATGCTGTGAGTCCTGGAATTTGGAAATGTTCAGACTAAGACTTTCCAAGTTCAACAGGGATCCGGTTTTTAGGCTGAAATGAAGGGAAAACTTTTTCCCCCTGCATATCAATAAATGCACAGCATGCTTTAATTTGTGGAAGGGTTATTGCCATCTTGAATTTAACCCTTGATTTTACTTGCTTGATTAGCTTTAGGAAAAGTTCACTGCTTCGACAACGTTAGTCCTGCATGTAGAAAAGTGAAGCCCATCCAATATATGAGACTAAAGGATTCTTTACAAGCCCTCATATGTCTGTCATGACCTGTTTCACTTCTATAAACCCAGAGCATCGAGCACACACACCTTATGTGTGTCGGTTAGCAGCTTTGGTGCTATGGCCATTTTTAACGCTTTGGAAATGACAGACTTTCACTATTCAAAGTGAAGCTTTCAGAAATATCACACCGTCTTCCTTTCGTTCAGCTTTTATGGGAACTGATCTGTTGCCAGAAGCTCATGAACTGTCCTGACTTCACGTGTTACACTTTTAGAGACTTCCTGATAATTTTGGCCTTGAGTTTTCAGTTTTTCCAGACATGTTTTCAGTCTTTATGTTAAGCTAAGTTGCTGGCTACAGCTTCAGTATAATGTTGAATCTATTTTATAATTTAACCCTTTGCAAAAAAGGCAACAAAATAATGGATTTCAAACTCTTTCGGCATTTAATTTTACTTTTAACTTGGAAAACAGCCCATTGAACAGTGTGACTTAAAGAGGAGATAGTTGCATTTAACAGTCCAAGTACATAATTTAGTTCCACATGCTTTTATTCTCTGCAAGTTTGCCATGGTAAGCATGTGAGCTCTGTGTTTCTCCGTTAGGCTTGGCTTGGCGTGGCTTGAAACCAGTCAGTGCTCCTCCATGTTGTCTTTGCATAATAGTCACTCTGTTGAGGAATAGCTGTTTAAGTTGAATGTAAATGTAAATGTTGAGCAGGTACATTTTACCTCCCAGCGGTTAACATATGAATAACATGCAGCAGTTCAGCCCATACCAGTCCTCCGTCATTACTGAACTCTCTTGGCATTGTTGAGTCATTGCTCTTTGGGTGTGACTAGCAGCCAGCACTGAAGCTCACTTGGCTGTTTCTCTCTTTCCTTATCAGTGTTTGCTGCGTAGTAAGAAGCACAAGGCCTACAGTCTACAGTCCAACAACACTGGAACAGAGCTGTAAGTAGAGTTAGAAGACCAAAAACCGACCCCTCAATCTCTGTTTTACTTTGACTGTTGTTAATATTACAAGAGGATCAGTTCTGACTGTTTCTAAGAATGTGATTGTTTTTCTTCGGTCTGAGACAGACGTCAGCAAAGATGGCAAATCCACTACAGAAGCTTGTGTCTGAGAAAAAGGACATGGTGGAGACAGTGATGGAAGTGTTTGAGCAAGGAGCTGAAGTGGTGGCCAGCATCGCCGGTGACCTCTTCCCCGTCTTCTCCATCGCAGCCCCGATTGTCAAGCTGGCTCTGGACAACGTGGAGAGCAAAGAGGCCGCATTCATGAAGGAGCAGTTTCAGAAGGTCAGAGATCGGCTGGATGTAGTGTCTGAGGAGCTTCAGCGGATCAACGAGGAGATCAAGAAGAGCGGAGTGGATTCTACGTACTTCCCCGTTGAGGAAAACATTACTAATCAGTTCAGGAAGTACATGGACATCCTCAACGCCAAACCTAAGTTCCGGGAAGTGAAGAAGAAGCTCTTCCTGGAGCATTTCGCCAAGACCGGAGGCGACAAAAATATTAACACCCTATACAACGTTGTGATGGGAGAAAGTTTCTCTGGGGAACCTTTGCTCGAGATCATCCTTAACTATGAGGAGAAAAATCGCCGGGTGATGGAAGACTTTTGCGCCCGTCTGAAGAAGCTCTTCTGCATTGCGCTCATTGCACTGCTGGGCCACGCTGCTCTGAAAGGATATGACGAGGAGGACGATCTTCTGAAAGAGTGGGGTGAGAAGATGAAGGCTGTCCAGGGTAAAATGAACGCTGTCATTGAAGACTGCATCGTCAGCTTCCCTAAACAAGCTGAAGAAGACTCCCGACGACTGGTGAGAGATCAGCAAGATTTAACCAACCAACAGCTAGCTGATGCTATGGTAGAGAAGCTAAAGAAGAAGTATGACTGGGTGGGCTGGTCTGTGCGTATATTTAAATCTCCTTCAGGCCTGTTTGTCAACAAGAGGGATTTCCAATGCGCAACGGGAAAGAACCGCTTCCAAGTGCCTTCATCGGATGAGAAACTGAACGTATGGGTGTCCTACAGCTCCTCGCCTGAGCCTGTGGACAAGAGCCACATCCAACAGCTGATCCAGTCTCAGAAGAAACTCACAGTGGTTGGGGTCGCTGAGTTCCTGTTCGAGAAGTTACCCGGCGACTGTGTGGTTCACACAATCAAATCCACCAAAGACCTGGCCTGCTCGTGGAGCTTCGAAGATGAACTTCACTACTGGGAGGAGCACAAAAACTTCTACGTCTGTGTTCACTCAGCTTGATGTTTTAGACACTGAACAAAACTCCAAAAGTCGCTCATTCTGTGTTTGTGTTTGTTTGTGTACCACATCATCATTTCTGCACAGATAATTGGTGCACCTTCATCTTTAACCTTCATCTTGGTTGCTCCTCTGGGCAGTTATTTTGAAGCCCTTATCTAAATGAATGGGTACAAAGCCAGATTATTTACTTCAGTGGTCATTAGAAGATAAAAAGACGTTTCTTTCAAAAGAACGATTAAAGTGATTTGTTCTCAGCAGTTATGCTTCTACTAATGAAAAGTTTGATAATGTTACAACTCATTTAATTGCTCAGTCTGGAGTGACGACACAATCAGTCGCTGTTCATCTCACCAGCACACGGAACAGACATTTTGCATATATAAAAGGAGAAGACATGTTTAAACAGTTACAGTGGTCATGAATATGGCTAATATGTTTCCCAGGTGTTGATTAGGGTCAAAACATCTGCAGTCTTTGCCATTAAGGAATTTCATAGACTTTCATAGATTTGTATTCACGATTCTTGTAGTACCAGTGTCTGATATTATACAGTATATGCCTTCCCAAACTGCACTTCCACAATCATTTTTTTATGCTGAAATGTTCTTTTTTCTGACATTTATCCACAAGAAGTTCACATAAACTAGACTGGAGACAAGGCACAAAGAATTGTGAAAACAAAAATACAGAGAAATGAAACAGCAAACATGGTGGTTGATCCACGGCTGAAATGTAGTGGAGCGTGATGTTCCACAGTTCAGGTTCATGATTGTGCTTAAATTGTGTTGTGGGAGGCATATTTTTTTGTTATCTAGTAAAGCTATAGGTAAGTGTGCCATTTTCCTTTTTTTCCTGCTAACTCCAAGCATAACGATAATAAGTGTGGTATATGTGTCACCTAAAAAAGCTAAAAAGTTTTTTAAACATTATTTTGGGACAAAATTCCCAAACTCAGGAAGCATTTTCTTGCTTTCCCTTGACCACAGAAATGAATCCTGAGGCTGTCATCCTGTTCAGAGAGAAAGGTTTCAAAATAGCCCAAATGTGCCTGAAGGCGTTGCTAAGGTGGCTGCAGAGTAGTAAGACTTTTTCCAGCGTTGACCAAACACAACTGAGCTTTGTTTCTTTCTCAAGACAGATACAAGTGCTCACCTCTTGGCTTACTTTGCATTAGTGTAAATTGTATCATTTTTTATGAAAGTTGTGGGTTTGAAAATTTTTACAGAAACTTTGCCAGGAGCTAATCAGCTAATATTTTCCACTGTTATGAAATTTGGGAGGACGTGGGACTTTGTTGTTACGGTTCATCTGTCACAGAGAGATTGTGCTGGTGCTGATAAGTGCTGACGTCGCCCTGTTGAGGACATCTACACCAAAGCATTTGAGAGAAAATGATTCCAGGCAGAGAGACTGAAATGGAAACTATTCTTGTTCTCAGTTGGTGAAATAATACGGTAATAAATGTCTTCACTTGAAGCTGTACAGCACACAGCACAAGAGCTCACAAAAGAAAAGGGCTCCGTTTTTATCCACACACCCTGTTACTGACATGCTGAGGTGCTGTTTTGTTTACAGACAGGTGCCTAAAATATTCTTGTGTCACAATTTTGCCTGTGAGGTTGTGCAACATAAACTGGAAGTTTGAACGTACTCAAAACCCGACCTTCACTTTGTTGAGGGTATAAACAGTTTTGGGTTTTTTTTTTGTGAGATCAATCTTGGGTTTGGGATATGAAATTAATAGATTTTTATTTAGATTTTAATACATAAATTGTATAATCTGACCACTATATGGACTCTACTTTATAAGGACAGTAGCAGCTGCTCATAGTTTTCCACACCACTATAACCAATCTGTGTTTCTTCTGTTTCTTTATTATTTTATGTTATTATATAAGTCTAATAAATTCTACTAATTATCAATAAAATTGTATGCAACACCGATTTGAATATAAAAATGATTGACAGAAAATTCTTATGTTGCACATCTGTGTCATATTATTTCCATACAGTGTTTTGAGGAAATTAGTGCCTCAGATCAAATTTTATGCACAAAAAGCACTGAATGTAATAAAGCTTCCAAGTAAACATAATCATGCATCTTTTCTTTGTTTATCTGAATTAATTTCTTGCAGTTGCAGTTTGCGTGTTCGTTATAAGATCCAAACTGTTTCTAACTGGAAAATGTTTTAATCTGGGATCGTTTTGGCTAATTAGTGTTAAGTTCTACAAAATAATTCAAGACCTGATTTACTACTAAAACAAAAAACATTATTTATTGACTCCAATGTTGTCAAGACATTTATTCATCAGAATATGTGTCTGTTACTCAAACTTTCTATATTTTTATTGAATACTTTGCTGATTCTTGAGGGTGAAATCTCACTCAAAATCTCAATTAAAAAGTCAGCATCAGCAGCAGAGTGGCTCCAGCTGACACTGGTACTTCAGCGGTCATTCGTACTGCATTTGTTGTAAAAGAACAAACATAACTTGTGCACTGAACTATTTGTTTTGTACTTTAAAAAAATCAACTTGATAAAGACATCCTCAAATTCAGTCACTAGTAAATATGAAGATGTGAAATCAACATTTGACTGGTCCACAGAATGAAATGTGAAGCTGAAACACAATCACCAAAAAACACCCTGATAAAAGTTACAGTTTTACCTCGTTCTAATCACAAATGTAAATTAGAGAATATTTATCAATCTTATCAAAAAGTCCATAAATTTTGATCTTAGAGAATCTGCTCTGAAGCTCCAGCTCTACTAAACTTGATGCAGAGATGAAGCCCTATTCATTAAATGTGATAAGTAATTGCGTTATTAGGACAAACCCAGTGATCTTGACCACTGCATTCTATATCTTGGTATGGAATAATTTCATCACACCAGCCAGTCCATCCATTCATTTTCTACCACACAGGGAGTTAAAGCCTATTCCAGCTACAAAAAACAGGAGACATTGTGCACAGGTTGCAAGTCTGTTGCAGGGCTAAAATAGACAACCATTCAGACAGACGGAATTGAGAATCAACCTAACCCAACTAACTACATGTCTTTGGACTGTGGGAGGAAGCAGGAGTGCCTGGAGAGAACCCACACAGACATGGGAGAATACACCAGCTGGCCATCTGCTGACGTAACTACCGTGCCACCGTGCTACCTCCACCAGTCAAGATCTCAGGTAAGCAGCAGAGAGAGACCTTCAGTTATCTAGAAAGAGGAAAAGAGGTAATATTACATAAAATTCTGCCCCATTGAGACTGAGTAAGATATTTAACTCTCAGCTGTTCTGTGGCTATTTTACAGCTTAGAAAAAAAGGAAGGACATTATGGTTTTCTAGTTTGGAGACACCCAAAGTGCTCTGTAATTATGTGGTTGTGGCTTTTCTATCTTCGGCATACACTCATGTCCCAGCAGTCCTGCAACGCATTGCACTGTGGGTCAAGTGCCCCAGCAGAAATGAACAAGTGCAACAAAATTCCAGTGTGTCAACGAGATATTTATAGAGTTTAAAATAAATAAATAAATAAAATGAGTAAATGGAAACATAACATAAGGAGTGTCACAATATATGATGCTTTACACTTATTTTAATGGTTTAATTGAGGGCTGTCAGAAACATTTTAATAATTTATAGATGAAGGAGGAGGAGGAGGAGACCAAAGACAGACTGAAGTCCAACATTCAAATCTTTAATCAGTAATCTGAAAGTCTCAATGATTTTTGCTTAGCAAAGCGGGAAGCCATGGAGAACTAAACAAAAACTAGAAGTAAAACTAATGTGAAGGTGAATGATTTCAAAACAAAATGATCCAAGAAAACAGAGATGAAGAACCATTACCAACTGCTAAAAAATGAAGCCCCCACACAAGTCCAAAAACCTGCAGTTCCTCCAGTGTCCACTTGAGGTTGGCTCCAAAACTGAGTCAGTCCCCCACAGACTCCTGTGTTAAACTGTTGAACTTTACAATAGAAAAACTACCTTACAGGGGCAACCCGTTCTCACTCCCAAAGCGTAACATTTTACGCTAGGTGACAAATCGTCACCATATTACGTTTTCGGCTACCCACCGCGTTCCTAAATGACGACCTCGGAAAAAGAGGAAATATGAGAACCGTCTGGACTGAACCTACACATGTTCGCTCTTTTTCTTCAAATCGCTTAGAAACACGCTATTTAACATCATTAAAGTCCTGGTTAAGGTCAGGAATAAGGTTATGGTCAGGGCTAGGGATAAGGTTAGGTTTAGGGCTGAAATACAGGGCTGGAACGTCTACTACCGCGGGAGCGTCATTGCACTGGATTCCAGCAATAACCCGCCGCGCACCATAAGAACGCCGAAGGTCTCCTTTCGCGTTCCTCAGGAACGCCGCGGGACGTGACAAAACGTCGACATGTTACGCCTCGGGAGTGAGAACGCTCTGACAGGGGAACACCTCTGAAGAGGACAGCTCTCATTAGGGGTGCAATCTGGGACTCTCCACCAGCCGCTTTAAAACTGAAGAAGCAGCTTGGATGAAGGCAAAACATCTACAAAAACCAAACGAAGACTACTATTACCTGGATGACTGAGATCTTAAACAGACCAACTCTGAGAAGGTTTTACTGATCTTTGCTCAAAATGATTAAAACTCATAGAAAGATGAAACCTTTGACAAGAACTTGTAAATTAGTTTGCTTAGTCTAGGTTGGGAACATGTGGTCTGGTGTCTCAGTCCTGTCTGTATATGCATCTACTCTTTATCATGTTTACGTTCAAGGTCGTGAATTTAATACGAGCAAGCTTCAACAGACTTTGATAGTAAAATGAACGGAGAGAAGACAAAAGGATACAAAGAGAAGTTTAAAGAAAACTCAAACAAAGCAACTGATGCAGCAAAATTATACACAACACTGCCTGTAACTTGGATTTAAAGCTTATAATATAATTTAAAAAAAGGCCATGGGAGAAAATCAGAAAGCAGAGAGAAAACTATAATTGCAGCAGGAACTTTATAATAAATTTGAAGGGCTCAGATTTTCTTTTGTTTGGCTCAATTTACCAAATCTGACATAAGTAGCAGACGGGGCCTGTTGTCAGGATACCTGTTTGCCAATGGAACAAGACTGAGACAGAAGGAGCTTAAACTTTCCCTCTGCTTCTTAGCAAACCAAATCTCTCTTAAGTGTTTTCCAAATTTCCACTGGCAATGGACTCTGTTACATCAGTGAGCTGAGACCTCACAGTCTGCTTCATCAGCAACTTCATCAGACAGTAAAGCTTTGAGAAAATGAGCCTGAAAATGATCAACATGTACTGAAGGGTTGGCCTCACAACAATAACATATCTCATTTTACGTTGACCTCGAAAACGTGTTAGCAAATAACTAACAGACTGCACTGAAGGAGATATATGAAATATGACAACCAGTGGTAAATGGGGCTGATTTAAAAGCCGTTTAGTAAATCCAACAGAAACACAATAAAATCATCATTATGATTCTCATCCAGTGAATGCAAGCTTCAGTCTTTGCTCTGTACTAACTACTACTAACTACTGACTGAAATGTCTGGACCTTACAGATATGCTCATTTACTCCTTGCTAACTGTGGCTGTCTTCTTCTTCTGCTGTTAAGCACCTGGCTGGCTGCCTGTAGGGGCCCACAATCAAGCTAAAACAGCAAAATGCAAACTGAGAAATGCTTACGCTGTTGAACTAGCACAACTGAGCTGAAAGAAAATGAATTGCCATAATTCTTTAGGTTCATTGCTACAGGTACTCCTTAAAAAAGGCACATGAAGATTTATATATGCTTACCAGCCACTTTATAAGGTTAACCTTGGACCTAGTTTTTGCTTTCAGAACTGCTTTAATTCTTTGTGGCAGAGATTCAACAAAGCGTTGGAAACATTCCTCAAAGATTTTGGTCCATATCGACATGATAGCATCACACAGTTGTTGCAGATTGATTGGCAGCACATCAACAGTGCAATCCCCCAGTTTCACCACATTTCAAAAGTGCACCATTTGAGTATATCGTTGACTAATTTTGTATGTTCAAGACCTCCCTTCTCACCCCACATCTCCTTATCACTAAACTAAACAGCATAACTAGCACGTATGCTGAAGCATTTAGTAACAAAAGAACCAGATATGTCTTTTATAGGTAGGTGCAGACCAAAAACTGAGCTAAAAAAAAGTAAAACTGGACATATTCATCATGTGGACAGAAACACAACTCCAAAAGAACAACTATATGCAAAGATTCAAATATTTGCAAATAGAATTACTGCAAAAGGCATTTCAAACTGTATCCATGACCTTTGCCCATTGTCCTAAAGTGGGCAAAAATGAAAAATATGTTAGTGTAAACAACTACACTGTATTTTGGGGGAATTTTACAACTTGACTTGACCAATTACTATAAGGAGAATGACTTTATCGGCTCATTGGACAAAGATATTATAAGTAAAGACCTCCAATATAAGAAACGAAAAAGACATAGTTATGCTAATTACTTTCTGAGGCAGTGATGATTTTTTATGAAACCCATATTAATCTAAGCTTTTGCTACAAAATTATGATCGAAGCTCACAGTGGAAAACTGTTAGAAATAAATATTTTCAGAATCACAAGGAGCTTTTTGACCTTACACTTGTGTTTTTTCATTTCTAGAGGCAAGTTTGTGTCTGCGCCCAGGTAGGTTAAAGGGGCTGCTGACCCAAAACAGTTGAATAGGCAAAGTGATGCTTTTAATCAGACCGGAATTACTCTTCCATGAATATGATTTGGCCACACAGTCCTGCATTGAGGCTGAACCATCAGGTGATCTCAGGAACGCAGAAAAACATCACGTGGCCACGAAAAGATTCGCCCGACTTGCAGGAATACATTGTGCTGCTACCATCACCTCGGCATAACCCACGACTCTGACTTAATTCAGTCTCAATAGAAAAAGAGGACATTTTGGTTTTAATAAAAGAAAAAAAGGTCACATATTTTAGTCAGGTGGTGCAGCTCAGATGGTGAGTGGGAGGGGCTAAGCTCTGACATGCATCCTCTGCTTCAGGGTCCTGATTGCAGCTCAGTTGAAGATTCAGAC